GTATCTGTAGAAAGTCTTAAATATTTTTAGGCTTTATGGGTATGTATCCTGCTACTGACATCAGGTGCTTCTGCAGTAGGTGGTGTATTCATGGGGAAAAAAAATAAATGCAGCTTTTACTTCTAAACTGGGTGATACCAACTTCTCTTATACACTGAGTAGAGAAATTTGTACTTTTTTTGGTGTTGTTGTTGTTTGTTGTTTGGGTTTTTTTCTAATCTATAATAACATCTATTCAATGGAATAAGTGTGATACATATAGATATCTATGACACATACAGATGTGTGTGCATACATATATGTATCTATATCTGTCTATCTATCTATATCTCACACTACAGCCAAGGAAAAATTTACTCAAGGGGACAAATTTCCTTTAAAGGAAGTGCCACATAAAAGAGGAATTGTACGGGTCCAAAGTAACCTTGCTAGAATGAAGAAATTATTGAAACTGTGGCATCCCACCTTCCTTAAGCATAACTGCATTTATGTATGGTAGGATCACCAGTTCAGGCAAAACCACATCTCCTACTGTGTAGCTGGCTGTAATACGTAAGGTTAGGAATATGGTTTTTACATTAACAGCTATTAAAATGATTGACTGTTGATTGTGGCCATGCTTTTCCTTTTTCTGTAGTCTTAACTGAAAACTCATCTCCCGAGGGCTTGAAGCAGGGGCTGAGACTAGACGTTGTGTGCAAGCCTGACAAGCACATCACTGGGCTCTCAGGATGGCTCTATAAGGATTTGGATGGGGCATTTGTAAGCTTGTGCCTCTACCTCTCAGAAAAAATTCACTAGCAAAACATTATGGTGAAGTCTCTAAAGTTGTGAAATTGCTTTACTGCAACAACGTGTACCACAGTATCCAGTAGTACAGTGCAAAAATTTCCTCTAAGTAAAATTACCCTTGTTGAAATAAGTAGAAGAAATAATAGACACAACTAAACTCCGGGTAGTGTATATAAAAAACAGTATTAGTTCGGAAGAAATCAATTGGTATCAGTCAGAAAAATGAATCTTCCTGACATTTCTTTAAATTTTCCTGTAACTAAGATGGGAACTGGCGTCAGTATAAGGGAACTGCAAGAACATGTTGAGCAATGATATTTTACCTATGCCTTGTAGTGTGCTGGTGGACACAGACAGTAACATTTTCAATTCCAGGCTGAAAATTTTCAGCCAAATAAGAGGTATGTTCAGCCATTTCGTGGGAGAAGGTAAATGGGGACACAGAAGTGTTTGCAAGGGAAGCAGTTTCCCAATGTTACCTTCTCCATGCCTTCCCCTGCAGAATCCCATTCAGAGGATGAGCTCCAGCTTGGCAGCCCGGTTTGTAAGACCTGCCACACCTGGCTGGACACCAGGTCCCTCCTCCCCTGCCTGCTTTTTTCTGTGCAAGAAGGCAATGCCAGGTGCCTACGGCTGTCCTCTTTTCTTCTCTCTTTTTGGTTGGAGCTGCCATCTGACCAGAGGGGTAACATGGGGAAGGCTGATCCCTTTCATGACCTCTTTGGGGCTATGATTGCCTAGCCCAAAATTGAAAAGACAGTGCTCTGCAGTGGGTCTCCTGCTTTTGGTGAAAATGGTTGACACAGTGCCATACAACTACAGAGCACATTAAATGACTGGCACTATTTTGAAGCATCTTATATTTTCTATTTCCTCATCTACAAGTAGATACATATAGATCTAGGGACTATCATTTATATTAGTATCTGAATCTTCTAAGAAGACAAAAACAAGACTAAAATTATCCCTTCTTTACTGAAGTTGTTAAAAAAACCCAAACCCAAACAAGCCCAACCCCATAACCTATTGGATTACATATCTTTATAGAGCTTTTGATAAATTGATACATATTATCTAAGATATGACAAGGTTTCTAAAGCTTTATAAACTTGATGTTTGTAAGCTATTAGCAAACCATGATTCAGTAATGCAAAGGAAATGTCATAGCTAAAAAGGAAATAAACAACTTGCCTCCTTGGCAGAATTATCATTACCCTGCATGTAGGAAAAGCCTCCATAGCTGGCTGCCTTCGCTGCAATTACTGGTGTACTTTTTTCCCCAGGATATCCCATTGTTTGCCACACTCCTTCCGCAATCTTTTTTGTAGGGCTTTTGTATGCAGGAATTTTTTCTGATTAAATGTTTTGTGCAGCACTTAACAAATTCACCTTCTTACCGTGGACAATGCTACTATGCTGTAAATACCTAATGAGAATGCATCTCTGGTAGTGTAAATCTGGGACAGACACCCTATTTTTTGTCATGCTTGCTCTGCATTGCTACTCAGTTTGATCTGACAGCAGCAGGTCTCTCACCCTGCCTTTTGTGACATGAGAAAAGGACCAACTACTTTGGGAGTTGTTTCTGCCAAAAGCCAAGGACCTGTAATCCTGCTAACATCAGGAGAGGAGAGCATGCAGCTTCTGGCAGCAGCAAGAACTACTAATTTCTGCACTGCCCAGAAATGAACTTCAAGCGTCTCAAAATTGTCATTAAAATTCAATTGTTTCTCTTCACATTTAGACATCCGCCCATGGAAAAACACCTATTGTGTGACTTCTACCCCCCTCCCTGGGGGTTGTACTGGGAGGATGGGAAGGTTGTAGCCCTAATGGTGACTGAAAAGACAAAGGCAAGAAAATGAGCTTACCTTGCTGCCCTAAAGTTAAGCAGTAATCCACATGGCACCAGTGCTGAAATATGTAATAACGTGGTCGTAGGACTTCATTACTAAAGATTTCACATTGGTTCTGCTTCTGTGTTGGCTATATAAATATCTATAACTTGTTACTTCATTGCTTTTTCCGTATAGTATGACCAAAATATCACAGAAAAGTGCAATTTCTCAATTTTTTAATTAGAAATTGAAGACTGGATTCTCAGCTAGTATAAACTGGTATGACTCCACTGATTTCATATGAGTTGGGCTGCATATCTGTTTTCTAGTCTGTGGCTCTGACCTGGTAATTACCAAATAAGACTTCACCACACCATAACATTCACATATAGTAATGGAATTCAGAATTTTATCTGGGGCTACACAGTTAAATATAAGTAAACGTCTTGGTCCGTGGAATGAGATCTTTCACTTTTCTCATAATTTCCCATAATGAACAACTGGATTAAAACTGGTGTTCTCTCCTTTCCATCAGCCTCTTGGCAATCTGCTAGATATATGCCTGCTGGTATAAGAGGATGGATGGATGGGTTCAGTATCACATTTCACTTAGGGGTCTAGAAATGAGCATCTTTAATGCACACCAAATGAGCTAAATTACAGGGGAGTGTTTCCAGCAGGCATTCCAGGGTTGTGAACACAGCCTGGGAATCCATGGTCCAGCAGGCTTTGTCACCCTAGCTGATGCTCAGAAAGGCCTCCCTACATGCTTCTGTACACCATTTTCTACCTATATCTATCACATCTATGCAAGAGCAGCTTTTTGTATGTGCCCGGGGATGTACTGACGCATTCTGAGAAGTCAGAGCACTCACTGAACTTCTCAAGCTGGGTTATTATCAGTGTGCTTCAAGCAGGGTCTAGATGGAGTTGAGGCAGTTGAGGTCCTTCAATAAGAAATTGTTTAAAATCCAATATTGACCAATTTATCATTAAACGTAACATGCCAGGTGAAGTTCTGCAATCTCAACCTTTCTCCTTGACTGCATTAGTATCAGTACATCTGTCTTTATATGAAATACAGCAGCCGGAGAATTCGCGTTCAGGGATGAAGGGTTTCATGTTTGCTCTTCTTTCAGTATATAAACTATTCTATGCACAGGCTTCTTCTGCTCTTCCTTTTGAAGCTCTACCATCAGCATTTCAGGATATTCAGGCAAGAGAAAAGAAGCAGCAGAGAGCATAACTGTAGCCTCCTGTGAGAACATGGAATGATGTGGGGTCATCCTGGATCTCTGGCTTCCAGGACTCCTTTAGCACTTATATATTAAGAATAAAATATAGTAACAGGCTTTTGCGAATTCCTGAGATGTAACCTTAATCAGAGATAGAGCCTATCTGCCATTAAACATAATACCTTCTTGACAGCCAGTCTTCTTCTGCAACCTTTGGCACCGAGGTCTGTTTTGGAAAGGCAAGAGGCATTTTGCAAATCTTGTAGTGAGTACCTGTATACCCAGGGATCAGGCCCATCATGTATGTTTTGCACCTGTACTTTCCCCAGTGTGTCGTATGTACCTCGCACATACAGCACAGCTGCTGAAGTGCAGACTTTTAATTGTTGGTTATTTTAATATCTGTGTAGTGTGTCAAAGGGGAAAGAGCTTAAATTCTGTTTGCATTTTAAATAACTGTCTTGGCAGTTACACAATCCATAGTGTGTATGTTTTCATGGAATGCCCCGTTCGTGACTGATGTTGAAAGAACAGGTACGGATATTAAATATGGCCAAGAAGGTTCTACAGCTGGTCTGGACTGGGTCGGCCTTGCACTGTGGATGGCTGTTAAGGGCATCTGGTAAAGTGCCACTAAGCACTGCACTGTTTGTCTGATACATACAGGCAATATTGAAACTTGCTGATGGCAGTTTGGCAAGTTTTATGTGTATCCAGCAAGCCAAATTCTGATCCCTTAGAGTTAGTTCAAATTCCTCTGACACTAGGTTCAACTCTTGTAGGAAGCCAGATGGCAGACTAAGAGGTGAGCTTATTCTGAGCAGACTTGGATCTCATATTAGTTAAGGGCCCCACCCTAAATCCTGATCTCTGATAAATTAACTTTTTAATGTTGCACTACTCCTAGGGTACAAGCCAAATGTCTACGCAGATATTTATGTTCCAACAGCCAAATGCAAGCTCATTTTTTTCTTCTGAATTATAAGTATGTTATGTTTTACAGACATGAGTAACTCATGTGGGATCTTTCCCACAGAGTAAAACCAATGTAAATTCACATGACTCAGGGATTTGTTTCAATGCTTATGTATAAACTCTCATTAGAAATGATTATGCTTGAAGATCAAAAGAAAAGTACACTCACTTGTATTAATGTTTAATGCATAATTCACATTGTTAGAACAAAAAACAAAACAGTCAGTGGTTGTTACGACAAATATCAAACATTGGCACCACTAACCAACTCCCATAGAGGATCCTTCATTTCATTGCATTGGCTGTGCACTGCGATTTCCTCTTGCGTGTGTTGTGCCATCATCTCGGAGACTTAGACACCTTCCTCACTAGATGAGTAATTCCCCTGTAATGACAGAAGTGGGGGAGAGCCAGGACACCCCACCAGTGCAGGTGGCTCCAACACTCAGAGATCTCTCAGCGGAACCAGAGCATAAACTAATCTAATCTAATTTTTTATGCAAGAGGGATTTCAGATCAGGCACGCTCATATATGGTCTAAAACTCTAACTGCCTTCAATCTGAGTTTAGTTTGAGCCTTAATATCAGGACCATGGTCAAAGTTACCCAGCGCCACAGAATCCAAGAACTTGATTTTTTGTTTTCTGTTTATCCATGTTCTACCTTCTTTAGTCAATGTTTATTTTCTTGCAAGAACGTTTCTTACTTAAATAAGCAGGTTTGGCATGATGGAGTTGCATATGTAATCTATTCTCTATATCCTCAACCAAGGCAAGCACAGGAGAGCAAAGCCATGCTCGTAATCATAAACTGAGCTTAGGAATGAGAATCCTATGTTGGCATCACTGCCTATTACACAGAGTGCTGGGTCTACTTAATCGGTGTAAGGGAAGACCTCTGGGTACCCTCTGCCTTGCCACATTACAGTCTTTCACATGAAGTAGGAGTTGGGTTTTGTTATCTTCATGGATTTTAATGGCTTTTTCCATGTCAATGTTTAAAGGTCAGCAATTTATAGGATGTGGCTTTTATATTTATGCTTCTTTCAAAAAAATTTGCTGTTTTACCAGCTGAGCTTACATAATTTCCTTCGCATATAGTTTTTGGTTTTTCATTTCCCCCCACCCCCCCAAAAAAAAAAAAAACAAAAAGGAAAAAATGCTGAAAAAAAATTCAACAAACAGTTGTTTAGGAGTTTGAATTCATGTCAGAGAGTTGTCTCTCTTCCATGGAGGTCTGTGGCATGGGATGACACTGAATGACATTTGACAAAATTTGTGCTTGGCACAAAGTCACAAAAAAGGCTGTATGTACTCATTATCAATTCAGTAACTTTCCTGAATACCAGCAGTACATCTGATTTAGAGCAGAGTAGCTGCCTGGGTTTCAGATCTGAATAGGTTCTTCCTTATTCAGATCTCTGTAAGCAAACTATAAATTAGCTCTCTGTTCTTAAGGTGCCTCCTGAAGCCCCAGTTGTTCTGCAAAACCTTCTGTGTGAGTCTGTAAGGTTCCTCGTTCAGGAATTAATATTGCTGAGTTAGAATGGGTGCTATTGCTATGCATGGAATGCAGTCAAATGGATCATGGGTGTTTAAGAGAACAGAGGAGAGCTTTGGGATTTGTTTTCCTTTTGTTTATAACAACCCACTCAAAATATTTACAATGGAGAAGCTGATATTTTCTCTAGTAAAGAACCTAGTGTCCACTTTAAGGCAGTTGAAAAGGTATTTAGAGTATATACTGGTTAAATTGTTTATTTTTAGTGGAGTACACATGGCATTGCTATCTTGACACTGATCATAAATACATACCTGTTGTGGGGTTTTTGTCGTTGAGGAAAAAAAACCTGTAATGAATTAAATATGCTTCATGAGGAAAGAAGTAGGTCAAATGTTCGGCTAAATTAACCTCATGTTCTACAGAAAGACTAAATTCTGTTGTTTTCACCTGTGGGACTTTGGATTTGTCTACACACCAAATTATTCCAAGACACTTATTAGGTACACTGTAGTAATTACCTCCGACTAAACCCATGCCATCTTATGCCAGCATAAGAATTCACTTTCTTGAATTACCTTAATCCACTTTGAAGGTGGCTTAAGTGAAACTAGGAAACAACTCGGTCATTCCAGAGTGAATAAACTATCTGAACATAGTTTTGCTTTACATTCACATCCGACCTTATTCCAACATAATTTTCCTGGGCTGAGAGGCTCTGAGGATATATCTACATAGCAAATGAACGTGTGATTACAGACACACCAACCTTTCCTTTACTCTCACTGGCATGAGTAACAACAGTAATGAAAGATGGTAGCAGAGACTTCAGTACAGCCTATTAACTGGAGCATATACACGCAGCTGGTTGTGAACAGCCTCAGCTGAAATCCACCTCATCGTACCCCCACTTCAGACACAAGTCACGTCCCTTAGACTAATACTGGGGCTGGGAATGCCTCTCTGCATCTCTGGTGTGTACGCACACCAGAAACTGCATATGCTATAGGACCGCACAGCTGAGCTAAATGGAAAACAGGTGAATTTAACTTCAGAGGTTAATCACATTCGAGAAGAAGCATGGCTCACACATTTTTAATATACACACCTTTGACAACCAAATAAAGTGTCAGCTGTGTGACTGCAGAAGCCAAATTAAATGTGCTGTACACAAGCACAACTCGGATGATTTCACTAGGGCTGAATTTGGCTCCACAGTTGAGAACTTGCTTATTTGACTGATACTTGTTTTGCTACCTATCTGCTCATTTATTTTAATGAAATTAATGCATTTTAATGTTCCTTTAAGTGCATTCCAAAAATAGCAATTTGATTAACTAATTTGCTTTTAAAAGTGTAACAATCACAACGAAAAATCTCTCTGTTAGCTGAGGTATGGCGTAATTGTAAGGAGCATGTTGGGTAGCTATGCCATACCCTTCATCCTTTCAAATAAATTCCCCACATCAATCAGAAGAGCCTCACTTAAAAATGAATGGCGAAATACAGACAACAATCAAGCTGTACACACTGCTTTTCAAGTCTATCAAAAACATGTATCAGTAATGTACTCTGTACTCTGCTGAGACAGTAAAGACAGGCAAGAATTTAGCCTAAAAGCAGTTTAAACCAATTCCAAAACAGAAAAGTGAAACAAACTTGTCTTTCTAGCCAAGCCAGAAAGCATCTTGAGTAGCTTGGGTTAAAAAAAAAAAAAAGGTGCTTTCAATTTCAGACTCCTTAAAATGGTGTTTGAATGGTACAATACTCCAAAAAGGATTTCTTTTTTCCCCAACTCTTTTTCCATCTGCAATAGGGATCTCACCATTTAAAATATGCTGTGGCTGAGAGCACAAAGCCCAGTAACAAAAAAGGTGTACACTAACTTCTCCCTGACTTTATCTCCCTATAAAAACTGGAATTGCAAAACCTGATTAGTAACAATATTAAGTGAAGGCAATTTTCTCTTTTATTGTATTTAAATGAGGAAAATTAAAGTATTAATGCTAATATTAAGGCTGAACAGAGGCAGTTGCAAAAAATAATTTAGTTTCAGCCCTTCTACATGCACCCATTCACAAACTCCACTGCGCTAGTTACCTGGGCATTAGCAATGTTGTAACTTGTTATTATAGTAGGTGGTGTGAAAAGCAACACATAAGTGGGAAACTTGTCTCAGGGCTCTGCTGGAACGCTCTGCGGTCACAGAGTGGGTGGTGTGGTGTTGCAGCAGTTTGGGATGTTAACAGTGTGCAGGTAACAACTGGTCTTTGGTTGAAGAGGCACTTACACCCAGGCTACCATGGGTAGTTTAGGCGAGGCCTAGTTCTGGAAATACTTTTGCACGCGAGTTAAATCCCACATGTAAAAAGGTCCTCGGAATTTAAGGGTACTGCTCATGGAGTCTTACAGGATTTGGCTTTGAGAAGCGCACGAATCCAGGGCAGGGGATGCGTGTGGCTGCCAGCCCCTGCCATGGCTGGGGACACCGCTGACATCCAGCCCTGTGGCCACGCCGGCCCCGGGGCTGCCGCAGGCTCCAGCTCGCTCTGGTTTAACGCAAACCCTCCTGCCTTCGGGAGTAGCTGCTGGGCAGCCCCAGCAGCAGAGGTGGGAGCGATGGCTCAGGAGCCCCTCACTGAACCCTGCCAGGGTCTGCGCCAGCCCTTGGCTCTCCTCGGCAGCGACGCCATTGCGCCAGCCGGCTGCCGAACTGCCCGGGCTGCCCCGGCCCCGCAGCGCCGCCGGGGCATCCCGGCCCTCACCCGGGGCCGCGGGGCGCTGTGCGCCGGGGGCTCCCCCGCCTTCCCCTGCAAAGCCTTGCAGGGGAGTGGGGGGGAGGCGCGGCGCCGGGCCTGCACGGCAGCAGCGGTGCGGCATCCTCGCTCCTCGCCCGGCCTCCTCTGGCATTCCGGGTGCTTTTCCTTTTTTTCGTCTTTTTTTTTTTTTTTTCTTTTTAAATATTCTGGTGGTTTTGTGTGTGTGTGTTGCTGTGCCCGTTCCCCCCGCCCCCGCCGGCCGCTCGGCACATGGCCTGCTGGCGGCCGGCAGCGCGTGTGTCCCCGCGTCCCCTGGGCGAGGTGTCCCGTCCGCCCGCATCCCGGCCGTGGCGGGGGCTGGCACCCCCGCCCTCCCTTCCCATCCCCCCTTTTCGGCAGTCGCCTTTTTTTTTTTTTTTTCCTCTCGGTTGTTTCTTTTCTTTCTTTCTTTTTTTTTTTTTCCTCCCCCCCGTGGTTTTCTATGTGTTTTTTCCAGATGGGACTTGGCGGTGACCGGCGAGGCTCGCCCGGCACTGAATGTCACCCTGAAGGTAAAATGAAAGACACGGAGATGAACGCATGCCTGCGCCCCGCGCCGCCGCTCCCCCGCGCCCGCCGGCGAGCGGCCGCCACCATCGCGGGGCGGCAGCCCCCGCCGCGCCCCGGATTTCCTGTCCCGGCTTTTTCGTTACTGCGCCTTAAAAAAAAAAAACAAACCAAAAAATAACGATTAAAAAAAAATCCGCATGCGAAAGAAACGTGCACGTACCCGGTAACGAGCCCAGGAAAAACCCGGCCGCTTCCCCCTGCTCCTGCCAAGTTATCATTGGGAACACAGGCAGGCGCCGTGACGTCCCGGGTCAGGCCGAGTGCGGACCGGCGCTACCAAGGCGGCAGGGAGGCGCGGGGACGCAGCCGGGGCCGGGGCCGCGGGGACCGGGGCCGCCGCCGTCCGCCCACCGCCGCCCGCTGCCCGCCGGGCCGCGCCCGCCGCCGCCACCGCCCCCCGCGCCCCCCGCGCCGCCGCCGCGGCGCCGCTCGGCCTCCTGCTCGCCGCCGGCTCCCCCCTCGCCGGCGGAGGTCGCGGGAGCCCAGTTAAAGGAGGCGTGTGTAAAGATTTTGCAATGTCCCTGCATGGTGTTGTAGACTTTCCTAGCAAAGAAACCGGCTTCGGCTTCTTTAAAATCCCCGACGACTCACCTGATTAACCTGCCTGCGGTTCTGAGCTGACCAGGTAAAGCGAGCCCCCCGCACCTCCCCGCACCCCCGCCAGCTGACATTGCATGGGGGGCATGTTTGTGCTTGGAGACGAGCCGCTGCCAGAAGCGCTTCCCCCCCCCCCCCGCCCCCTTCCACCTTCAGCCCTTGCCAATTGCACTTGCTCAGAGTCATTCCCCCCCCCCCCAAAAAAAAAAAAAACACCTTGGGAAAAAGCTGCATGACGGCACCAGCCACCCAGGGTTCAGTGGCTCTCGCCTCTCGGACAATTATTTAGAATTATTGGCCCGGGTGTGTGTGTGTGGGGGGGTGGTGGTGTAGGGGGAAGAAGGGAAGCAGGATGATTTTTTTTGCTGCTGACAGATCCTACCCCGGCAGGTTTTATGTGCGTGTGTCCCTCCCGCCCAGGGTCAGGAGTACTGGGAAAAGTGACGAGGCTTTAGCCAGCAAAGAGTTTGGGGCCGGGGTCCCGGGGTGGCTCCCGCAGCTGCGAGCGGAGAAGGGGGACTGGACTCTCCAAGCCTGTGCCGGGGCGCGTGTGACTGTCGCGGCTGCTGCCCCGTGCCGCCCTGACCCCCCGCCGTGTCCCCCCCGGGAGCCCCGAAGTGTCCTGGCTGCGGCGCGGGGCGAGGCCGGCGGGGGGGCCCGTCCTCGTCCCCGTCCCTCCTCCGCCGCTCGCTCCCTGCTGGAACACTTGTGCGGGCGGCCGGCGGGAGCGGCGCAGGCCCGGGGGGAGCCCTGCCTGCCGGGCGGGGGTCACCGTGCCGCGCTGCCGGCCCCGGGCGGCGGGAGTGGCGGCGTGGCCGCCCCACGCGGGACGCGCTCCGCCCGTGCCGGGCTGTCGGGACCCGCGGGCGGACACGCGCACACAAAGGCGGCGGGGCCGCTCGCTCCCAGGCTCAGCAAGGGGCGAAGGAAAGTGTGCAAAGTCCACGTAGTGCCCGCTCCTCCTGGCACTTGGCCATCCCAGCGCTGGCCATGGGGAGGAAGGGGGTTTGGGGAAGCGGCTGCGTGTGGGGTCTGAATGTGACCTGGCTGCGAGAGATTTTATTTATTTTTTTTTTTAATTTTATTTTATTATTTATTTTCCCATGGACATTAATGCCATGAAGGAGCGAGTGGTCTGGAGGTATATTTTGAAGTGCTGAAGGGGATGCTCTCCGAGTCCTGGGTCTAGTTAATATGTTTCTCGTGATCCCAAAGAAGAGAGGACTGCATTTAAGGGATGACTAAATAATGGGGGAGGCAAGTAAAAATGAGTAGAATATAAAGGAGAGGAAAATGAAGGTGAATGGTAGTGTGGGAAGGCAGGCACTGAGCTGCTTGAGGTTTCTCTCCTGTAATCCTCCCTCTCCTCTATATCGTCCCCCTGTCTCAACTCCCCTCCCCCCCATCCTGTCTTTTTTCATACTGTTAAGGAGAACCTAATAGCCAACATAACATAACAGAAAAACAGCTGACCCCCTGCCCTGCTTCAACCTATCCCCGTCTGTGACCGGGGGGGAAATACGAGTGCCGTTGTATAAACCCACCAAAGTTTTAAGCATTTATTAGCCACCCTGTTTATAATACAAAGTGTAAAACTTGCCTGATACATTTCGTTGTTACTTCCCTGTTTTATTTCAGAGATCAAAATGTTCCAGTGTAGCATACCTACCCTCACTTTCAGAATGAGAGTAGTTTACACTTTAACCTACATTACATTGTACACGGTCCACGCATTGCATTTCCACTGAAAATAGCCAAAGACTTGGAATGACAAAGCGACTCGTGGTTATGATCTTTCTTGTGTGAGAGCATCGAGGTAGCTGTGGTTCAGCATGCTGGGGAGGGGGGCTCTGTGGTGTGAGGTGTTTCATGTCTGTACAGGAATCTGGCCTGTCTCCTTTTAGAGGACTTTACGGTTTAAAATGTGCCAGGGGCAGGAGAAGGTAAACACGACATTCAGCGCGCTCATTATCAAAACAGGGAAAACAAATCGATTGCATTAACTGTGTGTGCAGTATCACAGTTATTCCACAGTATTTTGTCAGAAATTAAAAGGTTACCACTAGAGTACTATATCCCTATCTTCAGCCTGGCACCACTTATTACTGCAATAGTATTTCAATATTAAGTGATCTTGGAGATATTTCGTCTTTCATTTTGAATCCCGAATTTGAATCAGCATTAGGATGTCAGGGCTGTGAGATAAGGTATAACAAACTAAGTAGACAGCTGAAGGGCTCCTGCTGAAGGTGTTGCTGAGAAGGATATCTTGGGCCGTTCGCAGTAACCTTGTTTACAGGGACATTTCAATTGCAACCTGAATTTCAGAGAGAGGCTGCCTGGACTAATGCCTGCGTGTCTGAAACCCATCACGAGTGCCTTTTGCACTCTAAACCTTCTCTCTGCCTTCCTTGCATACTCGTAAAAACTTTTCTGGAAGGTTAGGATGATTTTCTGATATGAAAATTAAGATGTTTTCCTAAGAGGAACATTGCTCTTTGAACTGGTGTACATTAGCAACAAAGTATTCATGAGGTTTGATTTTTTTTTTTTTGGTTCTCTGATGTGTCAGGATCAGTAGTTGCACCAGTCTTTTTAGCTTCATGTATACGGCTTTGATTTATTATATTTAAGCCTTAGTGGTTTTGAACGTATTTTGCAGCACGTGAAGTCGGTTCAAGTCAGAATGTGAAAAAGAGGCATATTGTAACGAGGAACAGTTTTGTAGTGATCTGCTAATTTTTTATTTTCTTTTCCTAAAGCTGTTCCAGGAAAATCACGTGCATTTAGCGAGTGGGTGCTAAATGCCAGCAGCCACACTGATGAAGAAAAATGCTGTTGAAATACTTTGGAATAATAAATAGGATATGTAATGGTCAACCACAAGATAAACATTTTACACTGTGTTTTTATGGCTCTAAATTGGCTGCATTGTAAACCAAGCTTACTACTCTATTAAGTCATCAGAGTTTTCAATTATTTAAGATTTTCAGTCAAGCCATCTAATACAGTCTTCATCGTCCCTATCAGAAAATTATGCATAAGGTTGTAATTCCTTGTTGTTGGTATGTGAGGGCTTTGTTGTGGTTGGGGGTTTAACTTTGTCTTATCAGGACAAATATTACAAATCATGCACACAGGAAAAAAATTATATGGAAATAGCCCCAGTCCTACGAAATGGGTATAGTTACAGCACTGAAATGTACCTAATACAATTTGAGATCCACTCACTAAGAAACCTTGACAGTATCTGCCTTGCAGGTACCGTGCATTTGGAAATACTATATCTCCATTTAAATGCAGATCTTCAGTTTTCTCCAGGGGGCAGTTGGCGAATCTTTCGATTGAACCACTGGTACTAGAAAAACTAACTGAAGATTTACCTATGAACAAGAGACCCTTTCAAGTCTGCTTTTTTGAAATAATGATTATAAAATTTACTAATATTGCAATTTTATATTGATTTTGAATGCCTTTTCAAAAGTCGCAGGGAAGGAATAGTGCCTTTTACTCAAGGTAGGCCAATGTCTGCATGCTTGTTTAGCAATCTTAACAGAGATAACTGCTACAAATAACTTCTTTGTTTTTACATGGGTATTGTGTTTGCATGTGGGTTTTGTCAAATGGACAGAGCAGTCTTGCTTTGATTTTGACCTAGATTCCTCCTGATTATTCCAATACAGCTAGTACCTGCTTATTTCCCACTGTGAAAATAGGAGAACAACTGTTGATGCTATCTAGCTGGGGCTGCATGGGCAATAGGCACGCACGTCCAGTCGTCTCCCCTCCTCCACCTTGGCTTCCTTAGTTATGGATAAAATAACACTGGAGTCCAAAGACAGTGCAAGCCAGTATTTCCTCTCCTGTGAATTATCTTTCTTTGAAGGCTTCATTCAGAGAAAACAGGGGAAATAATAAAAAAAAAGGAGTGGAATGAGTGAATTTATTTCTGTGTCCTGATTTGGCATGCAAATTTCGTACCCCTTGCAGGGATGAACAGGGCCATGTCTTATTTGAAACAAGTCACAGATCCACCTTATTCCTTATTTGCTGGAAACTCAGTGTCAGTAGGTGCCAGTCCTCCTTAGAGGGGCTTGTCCCATCCGGTCCAATTTTCTATATTGTTTGTCAGCTGTTTAGTTTGCAGTGTAAGCCAAGGTGTTAAACTAAATGCCCAGGACACAGGGAATGGGAGCTTCCTTTTTGGAGTGCAGGCAGCACAAACTACCTGATGCAGGGGAGACAGTAGATCCTGACCTTTTCTATGCTGTGTGTCATGCACTGCATGCATTCCCAGCCACTCCAGTCTTCCCACCTGGAAGAGTGCTGCCTGGGGATGCTGCCCTTGTCCCCGTACCAGAGCCATGAGACTGTGGAAATACCATGTGTATTATGTTCACCCGTTAACGGCATATAACCCATTGGCCTCAATACCCTGGAGAAAACATGCACTTCAGGAGTTCAGGCAGATCTGCAAAGTCCAATCTTACATGCGTTAATGGCAGAGCTCCCATTCATCTTAATTGATATTCCTATAAACATCTTCAGGTTTCTGTTTCTAGTGGAGGCCACTGCTCGGTGGACTTCTTAAAGGAATGTTTTGCATATTGAGGTTGAAAGGGAAGTCGAGCCTGATACATTAACTTATCATCTGTGTCATTCTCTTGACATCAGTTGGATTACTACAAGCGT